GATGAGGAGAGCAGCACAGGAAAGTGAAAAGTCCAGCAGACCACACAGCAAGCGGGCAGAGCCCCAGCTTCCTAAACTGCATTGACCACTGGGCCAGGATCCTTGCCCCTCCTGACCCACCTCCCCCTTTTCGGCCTTGCTGTGCAGCCAGCAGGCTGCCTGCGTGGACATTATCAAGGGCTTTTAGGGCTGCAGGGAGGGAGAAGAGGTCAGGGACGTTTGCCCCCCACCCCGTGGGGTCCTGTGGCCTCCACCTGAGATCACTGCTTCTGTCAAGTCGGCCCTCCCTGTACTCCTCTTCCCAGGTCCCAGCGACCACCCTTCTTCCAGCGGTCCGTTACTACTCAGGGTTCTCTACACTCTGCTCCATGTTGGTAAATCATCCCCTTATTAAACCCTCCTCAGACAGTCCTAACTTGAGTGTCTCTCCTGTTTCCTGCTGAGACCCAGAGTGATGGGACTGCCTGCCCTGGATTTCCAGGGGTACCCCGGGTTGCAGAAATAAACCCGCCGCTCCACCAGCAGGCCTGGCTCTGGTTTGGAGGCTTGGGCTGACCGATGCATTCCCCACATCCCCCTCCTACCTTGGGTCCCAGCCAAGGAGGAGGCCATGCTCCGCTGGCCTTCTGTCTGCTGCAGCCCACTGGCCGGCCTTCCAGGGTTCCGAGTCTTAGTGGTTCAGGCCAGAGCCTCATTCCCCAGGGCAGTCCTCCTTTATGACTTCACCCACTGAAGTCACCAGGGAGACAATGCCGAATGTTCCACCCCAGAGTCTTGGCCTCTAGGAGGCAGGCCAGAGGACTCTCTGTCCACAGTGTAAATGAGGACGCCGCTGGCCCATGTCCTGCAGGGATGTAGAGGGCAGCCTCAGGGGCACTGGGTGCTCCCAGCACCATGGATGATGCTGCCGTCCTCAAGCGACGAGGCTACATCATGGGAATCAATTTGGGAGAGGGCTCGTATGCTAAAGTCAAATCTGCTTACTCTGAGCGCCTGAAGTTCAACGTGGCGGTCAAGATCATCGACCGCAAGAAAGCCCCCACAGACTTCCTGGAGAAGTTCCTTCCCCGGGAAATTGAGATTCTGGCCATGCTAAACCACCGCTCCATCATCAAGACCTACGAGATCTTTGAGACCTCCGACGGCAAGGTCTACATCGTCATGGAGCTCGGGGTCCAGGGCGACCTCCTTGAGTTCATCAAGACCCGGGGGTCCCTGCAGGAAGACGATGCGCGCAAGAAGTTCCACCAGCTGTCCTCAGCCATCAAGTACTGCCACGACCTGGATGTTGTCCACCGAGACCTCAAGTGTGAGAACCTTCTCCTCGACAAAGATTTCAACATCAAGCTGTCTGACTTTGGCTTCTCCAAGCGCTGCCTGCGGGATGACAGCGGCCGACTGACAATGAGCAAGACCTTCTGTGGGTCGGCGGCGTACGCAGCCCCTGAGGTGCTTCAGGGCATCCCCTACCAGCCCAAGGTGTATGACATCTGGAGCCTAGGCGTGATTCTCTACATCATGGTCTGCGGCTCCATGCCGTATGACGACTCCAACATCAAGAAGATGCTGCGCATCCAGAAGGAGCATCGCGTCAACTTCCCGCGCTCTAAGCACCTGACGGGCGAGTGCAAGGACCTCATCTACCGCATGCTGCAGCCGGACGTCAACCGGCGGCTGCACATAGATGAGATCCTCAGCCACTGCTGGGTGCAGCCCAAGGCCTGGGGCCTGTCCTCTGCAGCCATCAACAAGGAGGGGGAGAGCTCTCGGGCCACCGAGCACCCGTGGACTCCTGAGCCCAGCTCCGACAAGAAGTCTGCCACCAAGCTGGAGACCCGGGAAGAGGCCCGGCCCAAGGCCTGGGCGGAGACAAGACCTGAGGAGGAGGCACTGGCAGTGCAGGTGTTGAAGCAGTCAGAGGCCATGGGTCTCACCAGCAAGCAGCCCAGCAAGGAGATCAAGGAAGGGGCCCCCCCGCAGCCTTCAGAGACACACACCTAGTCAGCTCTCGCGGCCCAGGGGGCCGGCAGAAAATGAGTTAGAGTTTATGGCCTCAAGCCTGAGCTCCAAAGAAGCCAAAGGACAAGCCGAGAAGGAAGACAGTCCCAGATGAGCCGCTATTTTCGTCAGTTTCTTCCCCCTCCCTTTGACCTTGGTAACTCATGTGGCTAAAGAAGCAATAAATCACTATATTACTGCAGACCCCGAGGTCGGTGTCTTTGCCCTGCGGGCTTTGGTCGCCCAGGGAGAGGATCCTGCACTCCCCCCCGCCCCAACTCTCAGACCGCGCTGCGCTTCACCTCCCGCTTGGGCAAACACAGCCCTGTGTGCCCAGCCCTGACCATGACCTCAGGCCCTGGACCGGAGCAAAGCTGAGTAAGGAAGACATTGCTTCAAGAGGGAGGCCCATGAGTGTGATGCTGGTCTGGAGAGGAGCACGAAGAGCAGGTGGCTGCGGGCAGAGGAGGGCTGGGAGGCGGGGGCCTTCCCCACGGGGCCTGGGTCCTCAACAGCCCCACAAGGCTGCCGGTGGGGAGAACCTGTAGAGGCAGGCAGACCAGCCTCCCTCGAGCCCCTCCCCGTGGGCAGCTCTTTCTGCTCTGGCTCCAGGGTCCCCCATGTCCTGCCAGCACCCAGTTCCCGACAGCGCCCTGAGTCATGCCGCCTCATGGGCATCCCCTGGCAGCAGGGGCCCTGCTACATGGCCAGCCCCTCTCCAGCCTGCATGTCCCACAGTCACTGTGTGGTCTGAACACATCTTGTTCCCCTCTGGTCCCAGTCTCTCCCAGGGGTGACGCTCCTGCCAAAGCAGATAAGTGGACACTGGCGAGCAGGAGGGCACAGGCGTCCTTCGCACACGTGCCTGGCCTGCGGCCATGGTATCTGCAGAGGGAGCAGGCCCGCATGCGCATCGCCGGCTGCTGGGCACTGCGGGGCCCGCCGTGCCGGTTCTCACGCTGTCCTCACCCTGGTTATGCCGCGGCAGCTGCTTTCTCCTCCTGATCTGCACGTGCGCCTGACAACCTTGCATGAACCTGTGGGTTTAACACATAAGAGAACAAGAGCCTTCAGGCTCGCCTCTTCTTCCGCCCCTGCTGGTGTCTTGGGAGACGTGAGGTCCAGTGAGTGCCCCAGATGTGGCCTCTGCCTGACTCCTCCGTCTCCCCACAGCCACCTCCACACATCCTGTGTCCCCAGAGCTGCGCATCCCCATGTGTCAAGGCTCAGCCACCACCTAGGCCCCTGTCCTTGTTCTCCCATCGCCGCCCACGGTGGCCAGAGCCCTCCTTCTGCACCCAGTCTGGCTCCCACTGCCTGCGGGAAGGATCCCCACACCTAGCCCTTGAGGCCCTCCCAGGTCTGGCCTCCTCTTGGCCTCCCAGCCCCCTGCCATGTGCCATAGCCCTGCTTGTGGACGCAGCCCTGCAGCCCTGCCCATCTCTCCAGGTTTGGCCAAGGGGCCACGGCCTCCACACACAAAGCCTTCTGGGGGCCTCTGCCAGGGCAGGCCTACGAGTGCCCAGGGCCCAGGACAGAACCGCTGCAGAGTAGTCCTGGAGGACCCGGGAGCCCAGAGTCACACAGCTCACCTAGCAGTAGAGTGGAATTCCAGAGCCCATGGGGCCAGCGGGGGTGGGGACGTCCCAGGAGGCTTGTGAACCTCCTCCGTCATCAGTGAGGTCATTGGGGCAGAGGGCAGCGTGATGCAAGGGGGCCTGGGAGCGACTCATTGCAGCCCAGCCCGGAGGCAAGCCTGGGCAGGAGGGACCTCAGGAAGGTGCACCTACTGTGTGCTTTACAGGTGGGGAGATGGCTCAGAGAGGGTGGGGCAACTGCCAGAAATCACACAGTGCGGAGCAGAGGCCCAGGTGCGTGATGCCGGGTGGCCTTAGATGCCGGGCTACTCCTGTGAGCTATTCCACTGCACATGGCCTGGGCTTAGACCCTTTCAGCCCCTTGATCCCGAAGCTTTAGGATCAAGACCCTCAATGTGGCCTCCGTGCTCCCTCCCGCCCCCGCATGCTCTCACTATGCATGACCTCACCACGCTGATGCGCTGACCATCACACGCACTGCAGTCCCCGTCCTCCTCCGTGTGGCCTGACCTCAGACCTCAGCCTTCCAGCCTCCCTGAGTCCAGCCCCAGCTCTCTGACCTCACAGCTCCATATCCCTGTGTCACGGCCCAGCCGCAGGGCATTCATACTGTGGGTGACAACCTCCCTGGCCTCCGGGCTCAAAAAAAGCAAGGTTCTGTTCATGTCACCCAGGGCCTGAGGCTGACCCTCGAATGCCATGGAGTGGAGAAATAGAGGCCAAAGCTCCGCGGGGGGCGTCCCAGGGTCTGCAGGTCTGGGACCCACAGGCCCGTAGCCAGGAGAACCCTGAGCCCCCATCCAGTCTAACATCCCCCCAACCCAGTGCACCAGCAGCCCCTGCCCCTGCGTGCACATCCTGGGCAGAGCCGCCCGCTCCACGGCTGGCAGGTCCGCTGGCACATGCCTCCACCATCCATGTCCCCCAAGAACCAAGGAGGCCACACTGTCTTAGGCAAGGGCGGGTGTGGAGGAGCAGAACCCACAACAAAGGGGAAAGCAGGCGGTGGGGACGGCCAAGAGGGCAGACGTGCAGGGTGCTCCCGACAGAGACCTGGGGGCGAGGGAGACAGGTGGGGATGGTGCCTGGCTTCTGAGGCCTGACCTGGGGGCCTTGCAGCTGGCCCCTCTGTGACACAAAGGAGTGAAGTTCTGGTCATTTCTACCAAATCCCCCAGGAGAAAGGCAGGCATCAGCCCAGTCACTCCCGCTGGCATCTGGACCCGGCTGCCCTGCGCTGAGATCTTCCACACAGACCTCCTGCCAGGGAGCTCTCCATGCTCCAGGTGTGTCCATGCGCTGTGCTCCGGCCAGGACAACACACCTGTCGGCACCTGGGGGAGCCCTGCTGATCCCCTGCATGCGGGTTCCACAGTCACTCCCACCCACCCACCCACAAACAGGACTTCCTCTCCCCCAACCCCCGGAGAACTGAGCACACACACGGCACGCCTCCTGTCCTGGCAACGCGCTACAGAGGACAGACAAGTGGACAGCAGGGCTTGCGAAACACCCGAGGAGATGCTACAGGAGGCCCCGTTTCCCAAAGCAAGAACAAAAGGGTTTCCACGTTGTTTCCAGGGGTAAAGACAGTCTGAGATGCAAAGATGTGCCCTCCCAGGGTTCCAACAGCTCACAAAGGTCCCAGCGACATAATTCAGGATCCCCCCTCACCCAGGTGCTTGCTCTTCACTGTCAGTGCTAGGGGTGCTGCCGTCCCCCAAGACCCCTGGGACCGCAGCACCAAGGCTCCACCTGAGGCCCCACCCACTCACTGGCCAACGCACCAGAACCCAGTCTCCCTCTGTTGCCGGTCCCCCTCCCCGTGGGCCTGCCTGGTCCAGCCTCCCCGTGCCTGGCCACAGGCGCTAGCCTCTGCTCACCCCAAAGCCCCTTCCCTATGTGCTCTTCCAGGACCCATCTTAAAATGGGACTTGGGTTCTGGCTGCTCCTGCCCCGGGACCTGCAGCAGCTGTCCCCCCACCCTCTCCTCCACCTCCTCCTAACTCTGGGACTCAGCCATTCTCAGAACGGCCTTCCCTCCCCCACGCCCTTCCCTGCCTGGACCTATCACCACCACCACCCATCCCGGAACGTGCATCTGCCAGCCCACTGGGGACCGGGCCACCGGGCTGGGCACTCACAGCCTCTGAGCTGCCCTCTGCCCCAAGCACACCCTGCTCGCCGTCACAGCACTGACCCACCCCCACCCCACCCCCGCTCCCCGGACAGCTGGTCTTGTCTCCCAGGCTTGGAACCACCACCAGCCTGGCCGGACCAGGGAAGTCCCTCCCCAGCACGGCAGGTTCCGAAGACACAGCCCCCGAGGGGGTGCTCATCACACCTCAAAGAAGGGTCAGGAAATTGGCCCTTGTGGGACAGAGACCATTGCAGAGTCAGTCCCCACATCCAGGAGAGAGAAACGGGCGTGGGGCCCACATGCTGGCTGGACCTGGGCGGTCCCCTGGGCCTGACTCGGGACAGTGCAGCACAGCGAGGAGGAAGAGCAGTGAGGGTCACCACAGTCCTGGGCGCCAGCTTCCTTCCAGCAGGCAGGGAACAGGACTCCTGCCAGGCCAGCCTGACTTCCAGGGCTCCAGGGCCTGTCCCCGGCCAGTCCCCACTCCGGGCAGCCTGGCTTTATGACTTCACAGGCTGAAGTCATGTAGGGGGACAATGCTGGGTGTTCCACACCTCCAAGTGCAGGCCCAGACCGGCCAGACGGCTTCCCACAGTGCAAACGAGGACAATGCCTGCTGGCCCAGGTTGGGAGGGGATGTAGAGGGCAGTGGCGCCAGACGCTCCTGGCACCATGGATGATGCCGCAGTCCTAAGGAAGAAGGGTTACATCGTGGGCATCAACCTGGGCAAGGGCTCATACGCAAAAGTCAAATCCGCCTACTCCGAGCGCCTCAAGTTCAACGTGGCCGTCAAGATCATCGACCGCAAGAAGACTCCCATGGACTTTGTGGAGAGATTTCTTCCCCGGGAGATGGACATCCTGGCGACCGTCAACCACCGCTCCATCATCAAGACCTACGAGATCTTTGAGACCTGCGACGGCCGTATCTACATCATCATGGAGCTCGGAGTTCAGGGCGACCTACTCGAGTTCATCAAGTGCCGGGGGGCCCTGCACGAGGACGTGGCACGCAAGATGTTCTGGCAGCTGTCCTCAGCCGTCAAGTACTGCCACAACCTGGACGTCGTCCACCGAGACCTCAAGTGTGAGAACCTTCTCCTTGACAAGGACTTCAACATCAAGCTGTCAGACTTCGGCTTCTCCAAGCGCTGCCTGCGGGACAGCAGTGGGCGCATCATCCTCAGCAAGACCTTCTGTGGGTCGGCGGCGTACGCGGCCCCCGAGGTGTTGCAGGGCATCCCCTACCAGCCCAAGGTGTATGACATCTGGAGCCTGGGCGTGATCCTCTACATCATGGTCTGTGGCTCCATGCCCTATGATGACTCGGACATCAAGAAGATGCTGCGCATCCAGAAGGAGCATCGCGTCAACTTCCCGTGCTCCAAGAACCTGACAGGCGAGTGCAAGGACCTTATCTACCGCATCCTGCAGCCGGACGTCAACCGGCGGCTGCGCATCGACGAGATCCTCAGCCACTCATGGCTGCAGTCCCCCAAGCCCAAAACCGTGTCTTTGGCCTCCTTCAAGAGGGAGGGTGAAGGCAAGTACCGGGCTGAATGCAAACTGGACACCCAGCTGGGCTCGCGGCCCGAGCACTGGCCTGAGCACCAGCCCGACCACAAGCTGGGGGCCAAGACCCAGCACCAGCTGCTGGCGGTGCCCGAGAACGTGGACAGGATGGAGGACCGGCTGGCTGAGACCTCCAGGGCGAAGGACCATTACTTCACGTCTCCGGAGCCGAGGTGGGGAAGGCGAGCACCTAGCGGTGCGGAGGGCCTGGGGGGCATGGCGTGGTGAGCACCCCGTAAGCTAAGTAGGAGGTAGAAGCTGAAGAAGGCACAGGTGCAAGAACGAGTAAAATCCGTCAATTAAACCATTATTTTGATTACGTTCTATTAGCTTTCTTCCACTTAGTAGCAAAGACGTTAAATCCTGACCACCAAATAAACCACAGAGTGTATGCAGCAGAGAGGCCTCGAGGAGTCATTTTTTCTAGGACTCAGCACTCCCCTCCCTGCGGCGCAGGGGATCTGGAGTGGGGGCCAGGCCTCATGGGCAAGGACTCCGCGGCCGCCCGCCTGCCAGGCCCCCACGTGCCTCCCGACCCTGCCCAGCCCCCACTCAGGCAGCCCTTCCTCAACACCCCCCTCTCCCTTCATTCCCGCAGTTGGGAATGGGAGACCCCGAAGCCAAGAACTTCCAGTGGCATTCCCCCTGCCCCTATCCCCGCCAAGCAGCCCTCATGCTTTATCAGCCATCACCCCCATCCCCGCCAGGTGGTCAGCACCTGGTCTTCTGTGGCCTTGCCTGGACAGTGCCCCACATCTCCTTCACACCCACCCAGACCTCCACCCCCTACTTGCTGGGGGCTCCCTCAGGGCCAAACCCACCCTTCTCTATGGAGAATAAAGCACCCAAAGCGGCCATTTCCTGACCCTGGACAGTCCCAGCACCGCCCCCTTGGTGGGGCACAGGGCACAGCCAGGACTTGGCTCCCAGGAACTTGCAGGACTTCCCTGAGGAGGAGCGCAGGCCAGCTGGTGCCCAGGCAGCCTCCAGGGAGCATGAGGATGGCCCACTGCAGGGTGCGCGTGCTCAAAGCGCGAGGGGTTCCCATCTGAGCAGACCCCAGGCTGCCTCTCTGAGCACAACCCGACCCCACCTGAGGCCTAAAGAGCCTGTCTGGGAGCCAGCCCACCTCCCTGTGAGGAGCTGGCCCCAAGACTTCCGGGGTCAGGCACCAACACCCTCAGGCCCGGAGGCAGGTGCCCGCCCGTGGTGCCCACAGCGCTCTCGGGTCCAAGTGGAGCCCAGTCCCACTGCTTGTGACACTGTGGCCCAGGTTGCTGTTACATGGGGGTCTCACTGGTGGGGTGACAACGGGGTGAGGCCGGCAACCCAGCAGCACGTGGCAGGCAGGGCCTGAAGCCCCGAGCAAGGGAGGGAGGGGACATGGGGACGGCCCTGCCCACCTGAGCTGGAAGCCAGGTGCTTGGGAGGTGATGGCTGAGGCCACTGGGAAGGCGCCTCCCACGGGAGCAGCCTCACATGCAGGACCCGTGCAGCTGCATCACCAGCAAACCACGCAGGTCAGGCCTGGCCAGGGAGGCTGTGGACCTGGGCCCAGAGCCCGGGTGAACCTGGCGGCAGGAGGACCAGGGACCAGCTCTTCATGCAGGAAAACCTGGGGCACAACTGCCAAGGGCTCTGCCCTCCCCAAGGGCGGACCAAAGGGCTGTGAGCTCAGCTCAGAGGCAGGTCCCCAGCCCTGAGGGCACCACCGGAAGCAACACAGGCAGCAGCAAGAAAGGCTGGACACCCTAACCCTCCGAGGGTCACCACCAGCAGCCTCCTCCCGGGAGGGCCGCAGTCCTGAGTGCAGGATGCGGGTGCAATGCAGGCATGAGGGTGACCCCAGGGTGCACAGGCCACAGGGCAGAGAGGCAGCCCCGCTGAGCTGTAGGTATTCTTTAATGAGGATTAAATAGGAACAGGTTGGGGTTTGATAGAAAAGCATGTCAGCAAGGCCCTGGGATGCTCCCCAAGGCCACAGGGCATGTCCTGTGCCAGCCCAGCACGTGTCTCCTGGGATGCTCGCTGCTTCGGGCTCAGGCCTGGGTCCCCAGAAAGCCATAGTCCTCTCCTGGGCAGAGAGCTGCCCTGAGGGCTCCATGAAGCTCCCACGGGCCCAGCCCAGGACGGACTAGAAGAAGTCCGAGGCTTTGCGCCGGGCGGGGAGCTGCAGCAAGTTGTCCGTGATGCAGGCCGGATCCTGGCTGAGGGGGGTGTGTGTGGCAGAGCCAGGAGCCGGTGTGCTCGTCGGGGTCTGGGGCCCGCCGGCTGGGGTCTTGAGGTGGGTAGAGCGTGCTGGGGACGGTGTGTAGCTGGCACGCAGGGCCCGGTCTGTGTACTTGCTGGCCGTCCTGCTCACGAGGCGCTGCAGGGCTGGGGACATGGCTGGGCTCAGGCCTTTGGGGGTGAGGCTGCAGTGGAAGGACGGGGTGGGTGAGAGGCAGGATTAGGCCCGACCAGGCTCCCCCTGCAGCAGGGTCTCCCTTGGCCTCACAGGAAGGCTCCCGGGAGATGCGTGATCATTCTGGGTGGGAACCTGGATGGCCTGGCCCAGACAGTGAGCCCGAGCCTGCAGTCGAGGGGTGTGGCTCCCTCGGCTGAGGGGCTGCAGTGGACCCCAACCCTCTCCGAGGGCAGTGATAACACCGACTCCACGGGGTGGACAGGAGCTCAGTGGGGACGATGGGCCTAAAGGCACCCCGCAGGTACGCGGGAGGAGGAGGCTGTGCACAAGGCGGAGAGGGCACCGCTCCAGCCAGAGGGACGGCCACAGGCCCCGGCCCTGAGAGCACCCACTGCAGGGACCGGGCCACCCTCACCTGGCTAGGTTCTCTGTCGCCCTCCGCAAGGCCTCCTGCTTCTTGGCCCGGTTCTTGGCGGCAGCCTCGTTGGCCATCTTCAGCCCCAGACGCTCCCTGCGGCCCGGCTCCAGGATCTAAAAGACAGCAGGCGTGGGGGGGCTGGGCCACTACCCAGCCAGGGAGTCCTTGCCGCGGAGGCGCCGGCCTCTTCCCGTGGCCCCTGCGGTCCCAACAGCCCACCATCACTGCCCCTGAAAGCCCCCAGCCAGCCTGAGCTGCCCACCCGCCCAAGGCCCGCCTGGGTTCTTCATGAAGCCGGCACTGCCCGGTCAGGCACCTGTGACCCCCTTCCAGGAAAAGGGCCTGTTTCAATATGCTTTCGTCTGACTGCCAGGGTGTACCAGCCTCTGCGTTTCCATAGAGAACTTCAAGAAACGTATCGTGGGCCTGTCTTTCTGTCTGTTTGTTTTAAAGATTTGTTTATTTAACTTTCTTTTCTTTTTGGTTGCGTCAGGTCCTAGTTGTGGCACACGGGATCTTCGTTGTGGCACACGGGCTTCTCTCTAGTTGTGGCATGCGGGTTTTTCTCTTCTCTAGTTGTGGCGTGCAGGCTGCAGGGTGCGTGGGCTCTGTAGTTTGTAGCACGCGGGCTCTCTGGTTGAGGTGCGTGAGCTCAGTAGTTGTGGTGTGTGGGCTTAGTTGCCCCGCAGCATGTGGGATCCCAGTTCCCCAGCCAGGCATCTAACCCGCGCCCCCCGCATTGTAAGGCGTACTCTCCACCGCTGGACCACCAGGGAAGTCCCTGGGCCTGTCTTTCTATTGGTTTTTTGTTTCCTTTCTCACTTGCAGGAGTTTCATCTATGTTGGCTACATTAACGTACACCGTTCAGATTTCTCTTCAGTTATCTGCTTGTAGTTTTACTTTTGACGTTTTCCGCTGTACTCGAGGTTGTCATCTTCCCGTAGCGCGATGCAGCCCCGACTCCCTTCGTGATTTCTCCCTTTGCTGTCGTGTTTAGAAAGCCTTTTTGCCTCAACATCACATTAAACGTCGACCGGTATGTTATTCTGAGGTTTAACATTTGCTGTTTTAACCTTCAACTTTTCCATCTTTCCGGAACTCATCCTGCTGTGCACACTGAGGGCCTGGCTTGTTACCCTAGCTCCACACACTCAGCACGGTGCCCCAAATCCTGCCTGGGCGCTGGGACCAGGCTCAGGCCTGACCCACCTGCCAAGGGTGGCTCACTTCAACGCCTGACGGCACACAACCCCCTGCAAGTTTTTCTCGGCTGTCGCCGCATCCCAGGCTGAGAACCAAGGTGCCCGGGCCCTGCGCACGCTGTCTGGCCGCGCATCACCCCTGCACTGGGGAAGCACCCGCCCCTCGGCCACCAGGTTTCTGCCGCACAGGTCTGTGCTTTCTCTCCAAGCCAGTCGCTCCTATGATCGTATGTTTCTGTTCCTACAGTGACTGACACTTTTTCCTTTGCATTCCACATCGGTGTTGGCTGTGTTTAAGGAGACCCGTGACCCTGTCCCCTCTGCAAACCTATGTGAATTCCAAATTCCATGCCCCATTCTTTGGGGTTACAAAGCAGATGACGTGACCCTGCAGCCTTCAGCCTCTGTGGCACCACCCACCTCTGCCACCAGCAACCCCCCCCCCAGCACCCGACAGTACGCGCAAGGCTCTGGGGACATCCCCCACTTCCCCCACAAACCACAGCCATCACTCAGTTTCCCCACAAACTGTGTGCAGACCAGGGACCTGCCTTCCCAATGTCGCTCTGGGGCCCCACCTGCCTGCCAGTTCGCTGGCGCCTTCCCAGGCCACCCCATCCCTACAAACCACCTGCCACCCAGCCCCCTCGCCTGCCTTTCTGGCCCACAAAAGGCCTTCCTCCTGGGCTCCAAGCCTTGTGAATCTCAACTGTGACTGCTTATGACACCGGGCTGGGGGCGCCTGATCTGGTTCTCCCGTAACCAGAGGCCTCTCTCTGCAAGGACACAGCCCTCCTGAGGACACAGCCGCATCCCACGGACACTAGGATTCTGGGACCCTTCCCGCCCTCAGGCTGCAGCACAGCAGGAGTTCCTAGCCCACCTGAGACCGCCCCTCATCTCTAAACAGCCCCATCCTCCGGGCCTGCAGGCTCACAGCGGCCCCAGCAGCTCCCTGCCTTGGTGCTTCGAACACCCCCGCCCCAGTCTCTCCCCCAACCCAGTCACCTGCCCACGACTGTCCTCAGTGCCCGGTCCTACGTGGAAGTGCAGTGCTTGCCCAGGTGTACAGCCCATCCGCTGTGCACGGAGCTATGGGTGCTCAGGAGGCCCTGCGTCCACCCGTGCTGCTCCCACCGTGACCCACCTTGAAGGCTGGCCCTGGCGTCCTGTCCACGTAGGGCGTTTCAGATCCTTCAACTCTCAAGGGCGTGTTCTCGACCTCCCCCCAGGTCATCAGTGGGGACTCGTTCACACCTGCGGATGGAGAGCCCACAGCCAGCTCAGGCCTGGGACCTGGATGCGGGTCACAGCTCACAAGCACCAAGGCCAGCAGCTGCCCTCTCTCCTTCCCAGGACCAGAACCCGGCACTTCTGACCTCTGGGAGGGAAACATCAAGGCCAGCCCATGCCCCTACACCGTGGGGTTTAGCCTGGGGTAGGGGGCTTCGAAGAGAAGCTGGGCTGGGTGAGTTAGACCCCCATCCTAGCACAGGGCCAGCGGGCCCCCGGAGGACAGTCACAGGACCCTGCTGCAGGGAGGAGACCCAGGGCCTTCCAGGGCTCCCAAACCTCCCAGGATCCTGGGAAAACCGATGGCCCTTGCCATGGCGCAGCCACCAGTGTCGCTGGGCGCAGAGAGAGAGCAGGTGTGCCCAGGAGGCCACCCCGAGTCTCATGCGCCTGCTGTGATCTCTGGGCTTAGGTTTGTGAGCACCGCACACCTGCTGACGTGAGACCCAGAACTAGGAAAAACTACCCAAGACTGACAGGGACACCCAGCCCAGGCCAGTGGCACAAGGCGGGTGGCCTGAGGGAAGCGCACATGGCCCTGTACGACCCCTCAGGACCGTCCTGCCCACCTGCACGAGCCAGGCATGGCCCCTGGAGGCCCAGGTGCACCCAGTCTCCTGCAGACTGAGCTTGGCTTCCATATGCAGGATGCCTGCCCAGAGGCTTCCCTGGTGCCTCAATGATTAAGAATCCATCTGCCAACGCAGGGGACATGGGTTCAAGCCCTGGTCTGGGAAGATCCCACATGCCGTGGGGCAACTAAGCTTGTGTGCCACAACTACTGAGTCTGCGCTCTAGAGCCCGCAAGCCACAACTACTGAAGCCCATGTGCCACTACTACTGAAGCCTGTGTGCCTAGAGCCCACGCTCCACAACAAGAGAAGCCACCGCAATGAGAAGCCCATGCACCGCAATAAAGAGTAGCCCCCCCCAAAAAAAAAAAAGTAGCCCCCACTCAGCAACTAGAAAAAACCCGCGTGCAGCAGCTAAGACCCAATGCAGCCAAAAATTAAATAAATGAATAAATAAATAAATAAATAAAATTTTTTTTAAAAGGCCGCCTGCCCAGCACCCGCTGGACTTACTGGCCTCCCCCCAGATCCCCTCTGCCTGCTCACCAGGCCAGTCTGTCCCGCTGAGCTCAGGGCGAGCCACAGGAACCACCCAGCTAGACCAGCTAGTCCAGCTGGCCCCACACGTCCCAGGTCAGGCCTGTCTGAGAGCCCAGCCACCCACAGCCCTGTTCGGCCCTGGCACAGATGGGACCCTGGGCCTGAGTCACATGAGGCATGGTGCAGACCCAGGGGAGTGCCAGGAGTGCCAGGCCAGATGGGCCGCCCACCTCCCCCAAGGCCGTCCTACCAGCGGGCGTGTGTCTTACCAGGGGCAGGAGAAGGCGTGGCAATGAATCCAAATCCGCCCACGCGAGGGGACTCCTGGGGGATAAGC